TCATGGAAGACCGGCGCTCTCTGTAAACCCGAAATTTTTTCGGGCGTATCGCATTCTGCACCCCCCACCTAGCTGTCATCAAGCCCGTACGTCTATGTCCCTGCCACCTTTAAATAATAAGTATACAAAACTATCTTTATAGAATTATGAGATTCTAAACCTACTTGATTTACACAAAATAGGACTAAATACATATAACAAGACACTAGGATTATTCCTGTTTATGGCTAAATACTTCTGTTTAAAACTTTTTGTATACTTGTGGTGCTTTCAAAAGCTGGTCAAAACATTTCTGATAATCATGACAATGTAATTATTCTTAATACATGTCTATCACATAAACTCATGCACATACAGATAATTTTAGTAATTTTGATGACTGTAAATTTAATCTTGAATAATGTATTAAAGGTAGGCTGCCAGACAACGAAACATACACCCACTGAAGATAGGTCGACCGAGCAGTCCACAAGGGTTGTCGCATATTTTTTCCTTTGTAAGTACTGGTAATGGAATCATTTAAAAGACAATAAAAACTGATAAAGAATAACCATTCTAGTTCAATTAGAAGCCGAATTATTGTGCCCCAAAAAGTGTGACTAACAAACACAGTCATTTTTTAATAGTGCCCTGTTTTTTTTCTCTGAGGAACTTCTGAAACAGACATCTAGTTATATGTACTTCAATGATTGACCAACATGTTTGGGACAAAAACTTACTGTACCAGTAAGCAACACACCTCATATTATCCCAAAAGATTTACTGACTGAAAACAATCTCAAAATGACATAAAGACATAATTAGTATGTCAATAAAATCTATGTTGCATTGACATAATACTTGAACAATGTCGATTTGGTTGTCAAGAATTAGGTGGAATGTGTTAATGCCTTTTAATGTTTGTTTATCAAACCAAACTCTTGATCTGTAAAAACTAATCAAAGCCCTTTAGCTATTTCTATATAGATACATATATACAAAATAAAATGAACAAGATTTAAATACAACATAATGAAAACACTACCATAAATTTATATTGTCAATTACAGGTGCATTTTGTACATTGGCACCCCTCAATGTTCCCAAAACCGCCTAACCATTTGATCAAGAAATAACAATTGCTGTCTCATTTAAGCTGGCACACAATTAAGCTGGTAGATAACAGTCGTATTGCCCAGTACTTGCCCAATGGTGCTTTTCGGTTAATCCAGTATTTTTCTAGTAAGATTGGGTGTCTATACTTTCCATATATACCAAATTTGACATAATTTTAATGGAAATAACAACCCGATAAATATATTTCTGGGAAAGTATCTTTAAATAAATATATATTTTACATATTAGATTAATTAATCTCCAGTTGCATAATATCTAACAAATTTTCATTTATTTAAATCCACTTATTGTAGAAGTTATTAATCTCTAACAACAGTACTACTTTATATCTTGATTCTGCTTATATTTGAGCATTTATTCTATAAAACTAATGATTCTACTACTTTCTACTGATTTCAAATAATTGGGGTTTTAATACTAATAATTCCAAGTATAGACTGTTATTACAAAGGATAACCTAAAATATCAGTTATCTAGGAAATGATTTACACATCATACTTTCAAGGCAGACAAACAGGATTTGTAGTATTTTAAGATAGGTTGCCAGGAAACAATACACCAACAGCTGCAAGTCATCCATAAGCAAAATCTTTTTACTGTAATGGTGTGTTGACGAGACACCACAATATAATGAATAGCAGTAAGAAGTAATTATCAGAAATTGTTGTAATTATGATTCACAAGAATAATCAAAACAAAGAACATAAAGTTAATCAGATAATGACTCTCATTCACAAGATTTTGCAAAGTGTGCAAGGACAATAACTTAAAGTAATTAATGAACATTGTTGAAATTTGATCGGCAGCATTGTTTCATTAATCTGAAATGAAATGGGGTTTAACGTCCTATTTTCTACACCAACTAGGTTAATGATGATGGGCATACACATGTGCTATAAGGGAAATTATACCTAGACAAATGGAAAACACACCAGAAAATACTGAGGAAAATCTTGACCAACACAGGGATTTGGTTAGCATGCCAGTTCCTTATTCACTCAGCCACCTGATCTCTTTCACTAATCTAAACAATGAATTTAAATTTCCATCCTCAGTATCAACAGTGTACTCATTCCGTTCTACTCCACTATACCATAGGGTTTCCACGATATCTGCCCTGGCCTTGATTGTAGCTATAGTCTACGAACCAATCAAAAACAGTTTACAAACCTGTCGTTTCGCCTTCGTTTTTATAAGGGTAGATAACCATTTTCATATCCATTTACTGAATGATTTATGTAAGTAATGTACATATTTCTAATTCATTTATATTTAATTGTCTTATCAAAATCTGTAGTATGTTTAGCTGATGTCTAATATGTATAACATCTATATGTTTGACTTTTGTTATTATTATTACTATTCGTTTTTTGTCTTAAATGTTTCATTCTGTTATGTTTATTATTATTGAACTTATACTTGGCAATTTGATTCACATTAACTTGTCTACGATATCAGGTGGACGTAAAACTCCGCGAACGAACAAATAATTCTCAATAAATCTCTTGAACCTACATAAAGGCACGGTCTTCATTAATATTATAATTTGTTGTTAATAAGGGTGCCATCAAGGGTGAATAACTTGATAGGTTGCCAGGCAACAAAACATACGCCCACAGCAGCTAAATCGTCCAAGCGGTCGACAAGGGTTGTCCCATATTTATTCTTTTGTAGGTAATTAGGGGAATTTAATAGACAATTTCATACAGATGACATTATAATTTTCGTCGTTTGAGGGTTCTATAAACTAAAACAAGGGCCGTAACTCTGGAAGTAATCTACAGATATTGTTGAAATTTGACAGGCTTTTTCGTTTTGCTAAAATAATGCATATAAATTTCATACAGATCAGATAACTTTTGTCGCTCGAACAAGGCACAACAAAGTAAAATAAGGGCCATAACTCTAGAAGTAATTGACGGAAATTGCTGACATTCAATAAGCTTCTTTATTTCACTAATTTAAATGATGTATATGAATTTCAAACAGATTAGGTGATAACTTTTGTCGTTCAAGCGTTCACAAGATTAAACAAAGTGAAATAAGGGCCATAACTCTAGCTGTAATTAATGGAAATTTGCTGAAACACAATAGGCTTTTTTGGTTTACTAATTTAAACGATACATGTAAATTTCATACAGATCGGAGATAACTTTTGTCGTTAGAGCATTCACAAGGTACAACAAAGTGAAACAAGGGCCATAACTCACGGGGTAATTAACAGAAATTGCTGAATTTCAATAGGCTTCTTCGTTGCACTAATTTAAATGATGCATATCAATTTCAAACAGATCGGATGATAACTGTTGTTATTAGAGCATTCACAAGATTCAACAATGTAAAACAACGGCCAGAACTCAATAGGCTTCTTTGTTTTACAGGCTTCTTTGTTTTACTAATTTAAATGATGCATATAAATTTCATACAGATCAGATAATAACGTTTGTCGATAATAACGTTTGTCGTTAGAGCATTCACAAGGTACAACAAAGTGAAACAAGGGCAAAGTAATTAACGGAAATTGCTGAAATTCAATAGGATTCTTTGTTTCACTAATTTAAATGATGCATATCAATTTCAAACAGATCGGTTGATAACTGTTGGTATTAGAGCGTTCACAAGATTCAATTAAAAAAAAAAAAAGAAAAAAAAAAAAGTGAAACAAGGGCCTTAACTCTTAGATGTAATTAACGGAAGTTCTTGAAATTAAATATGCTTCTTCATCTCACTAATGCAAACGACATATATCAATTTCAAAACAATCAGATGATAAATGTAGTCTGTAGAGTGTTCACAAGAAATTGTGGACGATGGACGGACGGACCGACGGAAGGACAGGGGCTACGGCAATATACGACCACATTTCCATGTGAGCGTATAAAAACGTGTCTCCCCCTTAGATTAACCCAAGGGTTAGTGGAGTAGAACGGAATGAAACCACTGGGGATACAGAGGATGATAAATTTCAAGCAACGCTGATGATAAATTGTGTCACTAGAGTGTTTACATAGGAAAGTGTTTAAAGTAATTCAATTTCATAAATATAACTTAAACCGTTTATGACATAGAAAGGAATTCAGCACAGAAGGGACGGAAGTGGTCCAATTCAATATCCCTTCCTAACTTGGTTTGGCGATAGGTAATTAAAGGAAATTTAATAGGTTTCCTTGTCTCACCAATGTAAACAAATCAGTTGATAAAATTAATGTAGTCTGTAGACGAACATGACAACGTTAATAAATGACCACATTTCAATGAGGCGTCTAAAAATGAAACAAAAAATGAAATACAGTTATTGATGACATACATGTGCAAGAATATAAAACACTTCATTTCTACAATCTAGTGAATAACATTAGCACTATACATTACTGAAGTGCATACTTATTTGGTTTAAATTTATGCATAAATTTCAACAACTAGAAATGGTTTAGATTTTGAAATAATATTATTGTCGTATTCTGTGCTGGCCAGAATTTACTTTTGGTAGTTTTGCCAGGTTATTCTGGTATTCACCTTTAAAGGCTCAATACCACTCTTGTAACTGAATAATATGTCCCAATCTTTATTCTGGTCAACAAATTGTACTATTTTACAATATTCCAATTAATTGATGATACAAATTTCATCTTAACACACCTAATTCAAAAAAAATTGGAAAAATTCAACTAAATGATTTGAAAAGCCTGACGTAAACCTTTTCAAATGTGACTTGGATTTAAAAATATTTTTTAACCCTCTGGACAAGTAAAATAGGATTTAATGGATAATTTACACAACAGGTAAGACACTTACACATCTAGTACTTAGAATAAGGCTATTTTTTTATTTTCTGGAGCTGTCAAGCCAGCAAGAGTGTTATTGTCCCATTAACATTGACCATAAAGTAAGCACAAAATGTTTAATTCTTCTTGGTAATTTTTTTTTTTGATAATTCTTCAATCACATTCATTTACCATTTTCCACTTTGAAGTGAAATAATAAAGTACCATACTTTAGATCTGTATAATCTATGTTCAATACTACACGTAATGCATGGGTCTCACTGGATAATAAACATGTGGTAATCAGAGTATCTTCTTCAAGTATTTATACAGCTGGCTTGTCCAATTTCACAAGCCTATTTGGATGTTTTTCTGCTGAAAAAAAGTAAACAAAGGATGTCAAAGTGAATGACAATGACACTATGGTGGATGATTAACGGATAGTGACCTGAAAAAATATCTAGCAGTTTAGATCTTTTCTAGTGATTATTCCAAGAAAACCTTATGGCAAAGTTCACTAAAAGAGCAATTTGTAACATATTGTGTTAAATACAGCTTGGGACATTCTTATTTCCATATCAGTGGCTTAGCTATGATTTCTCATTAATGGGTGGAAACACCTAATATTTCTGACAAGCTGACTGAGCCAACATGTTGAATGTAGGCCTACCTTCTAAGATTTTATATTATTTTCTTTAACTCATAGTAGCACGACATTTGCATAATTCTTGTGTCCTAACAGTTGGACCAAAAGTAGTCTATACAAGAGACAATTAAGCTTTTTGGAATGCAGTTCATATGCTAAATATTCATAATTATATGAAACCTAAATGCAGATAAAAAAAAGAAGTAGGAATTGCAAGTATATACTAGAAATGACAAGTAAAATACTCAGGACAAAATAATGATAATTTTGTAATTTGATATTCTCGAGAGAGCGCCTGTCAAGATAAATACAAAAAAGTTAGCTACATGAAATTGTCAAAGAAAATCTCAATGACAAGTCACAGGGCTCACACTGACTTTCAATTTTTTTCTGCCAAAATGGATGATAATTTTTATATAAAAAAAACTGTTCCCATTTTTTTTCGCCAACTGGAATATTTTATCTGCTAAAAATGTGTGATAAAAAAGACAACACCTAACCGCAAAACATTATCGCCAAAATCAAATTTTAATCGCCACTTCATATTTTTTATTGCAAATTGCGACTTTGGCGACAGTGTGAGCCCTGACAAGTCGTATCTGGTTACTTGTACAGAACATTGTCATAACTTGTAAATAAGGGGATAAAGAGACCTGATGTAAAGGAACTCTGTTGTTTTCAACAGATTTATTGTATTAATTGCATGTAATAACTAAATTCATGTACTTACGATTTAGTTCCAGTGTTTAAACCATTGGTACTATTTCCAACTTTACTTTTAGATTTTGTGTCTGAAATGTTTTCACAATATGCAGTAAATAATATATACAACACTTTTCAGTTTCACCTACAAGTGATATTTTTTTCTCTGGTATTACCCATGCTTGCAGACATACTAATGAGTTCACATATAACTTCAATGTGAATAATGTGATGGAGGCAAAATCATGCATACACATATACTGGTACTTGTTTTTCTTAAGACACACCCCAAATATAACCGGTGTATGTATCAGTAAAAAAACTTCAAAGTTTACATGACCTTGGCCATATCTAGAGCAATTATGTAAGAGGTTAAAAATCTTAAAATGAAATCAATATTGATTAAACCCATTCAACATCATTTGTGTTTTTCATTATGTTTAAGTCGTCCGAGCAGTCAACAAGAGTTGTCGCATATTTTTTCTATTGTCGTTAATGAAACATTTATAATACACTAAAATCTGATTAAGAGTAACAACTCATTAAGTAATTATCAGAAAACCATTAGAATTTGTTTGGCTTTTAGTTCTGCCCCATGCTAACGTTTAGTATACGAAACATTTAATATCATGAATTTGGCTGTTCAAGTCATCAAAATTCATTGAAAATGAATATACTTGTTTGTCTCAAGACCATAAGCTCTGTTTATCAATCGGATAGGTTGTCAACTCACTATTATACGATCATAGGTTATCTTTCTCACACTTAAAAATCTTCACACCGGAAATAATAACACAATTCCCTCCCTTGTTTTTCTATTCCCCACCATGGAATAGCTTTTCAAACGTTTGAATTTGAAGTTGAAAATGATATTTTTGCCAATTTCTCAACTGGCAATAGTGAATTATAGGATTAATAGGATTATTCTTTAACAAGGTCGGACTGTTTAAAGATACCATCTATTTTAGGGCTTTATTTTAATACATTTTAAAAATATAACTTTAAAATATGAAATTGTAACTTTAACGTTGGCCTCTAGAGCATCCACAAGATATTTCTAAGTGATCAAGGGCCGTAACTCTTGCAGTAATTATCGGAAATCGTTGAAAATGAATAGATGTCTTCGTCTCATGACCTTAAACACTGTGTATAAATTTTAAGTCAATCAGATATTAACTTTAGCCTCTAGAGCATTCACAAGGTATTTCAAAGTGATCAAGGGACATAACTGTGGTAGTGACTATCGGAAATCATTGAAAATCACTCGACCTTAAACACTGTGTATAAATCTGAAGTCAATCGGATATTAACTTGAGCCTCTAGAGTGGCCACAAGATATTTCAAAGAGATCAAGGGCCATAACTCTGGCAGTAATTATTGGATATCGTTGAGAATCAATAGGCTTCTTCGTACCATGACCTTAAACACTGTGTATAAATTTAAAGTCAATCGGATATTAACTTTAGCCTCTAGAGCTTCCACAAGCAATTGTGGACACCGGACATTTCAATTTGGGCGTATAAAAAAAGTATTTACCACTATTACTACCAGCACTTGTTAAAGAACCACGTCTACTAGTCAACGTACTTGCTATAGATGTAGATGATACACCACTTCCAGATCCTTTACGACTAAAATAAAATATTGTTTATTAATAACCAATGAAAAAGAAAATGTAATGGGATTGAACATCCTACTTTCTGCACCAACTGGCTAACATTAATCACTTCCTAGGAGGTTGTTATGAACTACTGCACAAATTTTACTGATGTAATCTTATATGAGTAGAGTATATTATACGTTACCTGAAAGTAGCACTAGGTGTAAGAGCACTAGCTGATTTAGCTGCTGGTTTAGTTAATTTGTTACCACCAGATAAAGCTGTAATAAAACATAATTATATTATCACACAAATCACTAATCTCTTGCTAAATTACCTCTGTGATAGATACCAGCGAAAAAACAACAAAAAGAAAAAAAAAAACCCCAAAAAACAACAACATAGAACAACCAATATTTAATTTACTAAGAATACTACCACATGGTTTCCTTCCATAAACTAATTTCTAAACTCAAGCAAGTATTCCACAGAAGTACTATCCATATTCACTGCTTTTCAAACTAGAGCAAATATATATACTTGAATCAATTACCTAGCTGTACAAAAATCAAATCCGTCAACATAATCTTGCAAGTTGTTTGAATACAAATTAATTCACACTGACTTACACATCAGATAATACAACCAATTGAAATAAGAAGGCAACTGTATGTTAGTGGCTGTCAAACTTACCAGTACTATTAAAAACTGGTATTTTACATAAACTGCTTTCTCTAGGTCTGCTTTTAAAAAACTCATCTTTGCATTCTGTATCATAATATTTGTTTATTCATAATTATATCTTAACAAAAGCAGATATTATCTTAACAAAAGCAGATATTATTTTAACAAAAGCAGATATTATTCATTATCAAATATATTACATAGTCAGTGTAGTTATAACTGATGTTCACTTATCATTACTATTCAAGCCTCAAGTTATATATTTAGAATAGTAACAGTTTTTATGTATCAAAGTGTTATCGATTACACATGTAATTATATATTATTTCCCCATATATCTGAGTCAGTACATGCTTAGAAGTGTAACACATCTTACCGTCAATTATTATTAAAGATCGCCTCGATGAAATTTGGCCATTTTTTGGTTTTAATGGAATGCGGCTTGCATTTTCTGTTAATTTAAAGTTGAGATTTTTTTTTATTAGAACTGAAGAACTATCACTTTTAATAAATTATTATATATATTTCATTACATTTAATTATACTAAATTTATATAAAACTATATACATCAATAAAAGTGGTATGTTCTTAAAGACAGTTTTCTTCATAAACATTATTAGCTACATAACACTATTAACAGTTTGTATCAGATGTTCCAAAACACTTTTTCAATTTTAAACGTTTGTCTTTGATACCATTAATGAACAATTTACAGCAGACCATTCCTATAAGACATATATCAAACTACTTTTATATGCAATAACACATATAAAGGAAATCAGCTACAAATTCATTTGAGGAAAATATGTTTTTGTCCCATCTGAACGACTAGACGCTGTTCCTTTCCAGTCCCTCCAAACTGCAAACTGACAAGGGGGAAACCATGCACGAAAATCCTGAGGAAATTTCTCGACCAACACATGGGTTTGAAGCCAGGACCTTCAGGTTAGGGAGTCAGCACCTTACCCACTGAGCCACCACCACTCCCTTGTGACTGTGACCTTTGGAACATTTTACAGTGTTTAAGAAAATTGGTAAATCATATTTTAGGGCAGGTATATAATATTATATATTTGTGACTAAATTAATTGTAAATATATTCAAATAAGAGAAAGAGAAAAGGGTTTTACCGTCCACTCAACACAAACTAACATTCATTTTTTTGAATAATTTTTTAATAATTTGCTCGCGCGTGGGGGACATTGTCAGTGGGAGGAAACAGAAGGACCCAGAGAAAACCCACAAGGTTGGACAGGTGACTTTACTCCATTCGCGTACACGTGGGGTATCAAAATCATGCTACTTGATTTTAATGACAGGCCTTACGATCTAAAGTGTATAGTAAACATTGGCATCAAGTACATACAACTTTAATATGGTCATTTATGTGCTCTTTAAAGGAGAACATTCCATATCATTATTACTGTTTATTACTATTTTTGTAATAATATTATGGCATTGACTAATAGTTGTTTATAGATTTAGGCCTGCAGCCGAAATTTCTAGCTTGCTTAGAAACACAATTCCGCTACATGGTCCTTAACGCTAGAAATTTTGGCTGCAGGCCTAATTCTTGGTCAAGCAAAATAACACCTGAAATAATAAAAATCTACATGAATTGAACTATAGGTTAATAAACACATTTGTCATCTTCATGGTCAGGAATGGAATGCGTCTGTTGACCAAATTTAGTAATAGTCCCTCCCATAGAGCAGTGTAGGGGATATGCCTATTCCATATTTGTGAACTTGAACCGTGGTCAGTTTATGAAACAGTCTATGGGATTTCAAAATTTTTCTTGTTGGACATTTTTACCGAAAATAAAGGGACATAACTCTTATTGTTATTTAAGCAGGCAGTTTTTGGACCACACACAAAAATCATGTGTCAACAAGATATTCAAATTCGCACGTAATCAAAAATACAGTGGACTCTGTCACATCCGATGTCTGATCACTCTGGATTGCTGTGACATCCGACATGATTTTCATGTCCCGATTTATTTCCTTATTACTTCAGCCAAAAAATCGCTGGTAAATCCGGATTCTGTATCTTCCGGATTACGACATCAATCAGCCGTCCCGTCACATAATTTCCATTGAATCAACACCGTATAATCCGTACTTCAAACGGTGGGTGTGAAGCATCCAATTATCGGTGAGATGGGTGTGAAGCCAGAAAAGATTAACAAGCAATCACCAATCAATTATCGGTGAGATTAAAACTCACAAGCACCGGTCTGTGTTGATTACTTTGATAATGTTATAAATTCTTTGTTGATTATTTTACAATTTATAATCTCTTGTAAGAGTGTGCTTGGTATTTGTTTTTAGTTACTCATGTCAAATACCTCGACATTATATAAAGATTGCAGCGATTGAAGAATCATTATACATTATTGTATTCAAAATGTCTGAACGTCCTGCAAAGCGTGCCCGAACAGATTTGACATTAGATGTAAAGCGGCAACTTATAGCAGATTTCGAGAAAGTTCCACGACCTGCGCAGAAGGAATTAGCCGTTAAGTATTCAATTGGCCGAGCTACAGTGTCAGGCATATTAAAGCGTAAAGATGAATTTAAACAGAAGATTGCCGATAATTTAAACTGGAGTAAGAAACGATTTTAAGCATGCATTGTTATTGTCCACTGTAGGTGCACCTCATTATTTTCCATATTTAATTCCTGTACGGTATTCAAATTTATGACAGTAATATTCCTACAAAATTACGTGATGTCGTAATATGATAGAATGAAAGCGTGCCGACTACTGCCAATCCGTACTGTTTCAAATTCCTCCAAAATTACTGTATTTTTTGGGTCATAAGTCGATACATTTTTCAGCATTAGTCCAGCATTCAACTTATACTCCGTTTCGACTTATATACGGAGGGTAAAAAAAATATAACATCCGAAATTTATTTGGCAGTAAACGTTACTCTACCACAACGAGCGAGTGACACCATCTGCTAAATAATCGCATTTGACTTTAGCACACGCTATCGTCTAAAACAATTAAGTACTTAAAATATTCCAATCGACATATTGTCAACATTGCTTAGCGTACTTATTTCTTTATTTAAAAACATAAACCCCTTTCAAAATATGATCATAAATCTGAGAATATGCCATCAAAATAGAATCTTTTCTTCGACATTAGACTTGTGAAATTTGTCACGTATTCATTTCATAGTTTCACATGTCTCGCAAGATTTCTACTTCAGTTTCATTTTACTCTAGCACGCGCTATCGTCTAAAATAATTAAGTACTTACACTTTTCCAATCGACATATTCGTCAACACTACTTAGCGTACTTAATTCTTTATTTAAAAACATAAACCCCATTCAAAATATGATCATAAATCTGAGAATATGCCATCAAAATAGAATCTTTTCTTCAACAATAGACGCTTGAAATTGTCATGTATTCATTTCATAGTTTCACGCGTTTTGCGAGATTTCTACTTCCGTTTCAGTTATCGTACTATATAACTGCCACTTGGCAAACCTCAGCAGATTCTGGTACCCTACATCTAGCCTCGGCTGTATGATGAAGTCTGCCCTTGGAACTACTTTCAAGTTCCTTGATAACCAACGGCATTGCCCATGACTACGCCTTTGAAGACTATTTTTTCATACAAATATTTCAAGTTTATCAGATTTTCTTCAAACCAGGACAACTTTGCTCTGAAAATTCTAAACACACTTCGAACGACGCAATTTTTATAACTTCTTTTTAAAAGCGGCAAGTTTTCCTAATAAGTAAACCGGTGCTGCATCGTAAACGTAGAGTAACAGAATCTGCCGAGGTTTGCCGAATGCTATAACCGCGTGCGATCAAAAACAGATCAATGTCTAGTATTTTTCGGATATGTGTGTGTGTGTGTGTGTGTGTGTGTGAAATAGCTTTATTTAACGCTCGCTTCCACCGAAGTGATATCACAGGTGAGTTATTGGATACATATTGATTTGGGGCGTTATGTACTATTAGGATATGTGACATATATGACTAATTTCTACGTGCTGTCGGTCGACATCATGGAAATTAAAACACCTGACAATGGGGAAATCATGGGTCAATCACGTAGATTAAGTTTATAATCACTCATATTGGATTGATACATATCCCGACAAAGGAGAAACAATGACTTCTGTTCAGGATTGGATTGATGATTTGTCCGATAAAGGATTAAGAAAGATTAACTAGTTATTCAGGGTAGGTGTATAGGCGGTATAACACGATAAATACATTGATCACTTAATTACATAATCAATCCAGCGTGTTATCAACGATAATCGGGTTGAGTGGTAGTTATATCACCGAATAGTGATACTAAATTCTACTTCTTTTTCAAATTTTATTTTAAGGATATACAGAATTTATTTCTTAAAGTATATAGACAATATAGCTAATAGTAAGGTTATCATTTGGTCTTTCTTTACTTTTAGTGTTAATATTTTGATTTAAAGTCTATAACAAGAGCATCGCTAACGCAGCAATATACGTCCACATTCCTGTTTTGTTTGATATGGTCCAGTTTGCATTGAGGGTCTGTGAAATAAAACTGGGTTGTAGGACTGCTATCAGTATAACAT